CATCGACAGAGCAGTCCTCACCGGTCCCTTCATCACCATCACTTTCTCACCTCAGAGCTAATAATAGACAAACACCACCATCCTGAATGCATGAACCACTTTATAGAGAGTTTACACCATTAACATTCACATTAATGGCCTATTCCAAAGAGAAAATGTTCTGTTATTACTATGAATCTCACACAAACTGGCATATACCTGACATATTCTTTGTTATTATAAAATGAAGCTATTGTAATAAATTCAATCCAGATGTGTTGATTTGATGTTGAACTTTGTGCATTTTTTCATGTGGATTGGTTCAGTAATTACAAATATTAACCTCTAAACATGGGCGACAATTTTGCAATGTTACAGTTAAATATAGTTTTTAATATAGATTTCTGAGCTGCTCTCCAGCTTACACTGACATGACTAATTTTACAGATCTATCAAATGTTTCCTGGTCAGAACATGGTCTTTTTAAGTGCAGTGCACTGACCAACTTGAGCATCAATATATGGAGATGGGGCCATGGATCCATTATAATATAATAGTGCCGGATGGGGCCCTGGGCGCTGTAATACGGCGACCTCTGCTCCTGACAGAGGCTCCAGCAGCAATGAAAGATCATCAAATGCAGAGGACACATTTCCCTACGGGGACCACCGTATGTGCAGCTAACCTATATCAAGAGAGAGGTATTATTGTTATTGGAAAGGTGCTATTGCCGATATTATTTTAATACATTTTTCAAACCTACATAGTATGGATGCACCGATGCATCGGCTGAACATCGGTATCGGCCGATGTTTGTCTTGTGCCATTGAACATTGTCCATCCATCCATCCATTTTCTTCCGCTTCATCCGTTGCCGGGTCGCGGGGGCAGCAGTCTAAGCAGAGACGCCCAGACTTCCCTATCCACACACACCTCCTCCAGCTCGTCCGGGGGGACTCCAAGGCGTTCCCAGGCCAGCTGAGAGACATAGTCCCTCCAGCGTGTCCTGGGTCTTCCCCGGGGCCTCCTCCCAGTGGGACATGCCCGGAACACCTCCCCAGGGAGGCGTCCAGGAGGCATCCAGAACAGATGCCCGAGCCACCTCAACTGGTTCCTCTCGACGTGGAGTAGCAGCGGTTCTACTCCGAGCTCCTCCCGTGTGACTGAGCTCCTCACCCTATCTCTAAGGGAGCGCCCAGCCACTCTGCGGAGGAAGCTCATTTCGACCGCTTGTATCCGCGATCTTGTTCTTTCGGTCATTACCCAAAGCTCATGACCATAGGTGAGGGAGGGAACGAAGATTGACCGGTAAATTGAGAGCTTTGCCTTTCGGCTCAGCTCCCTCTTTACCACAACGCTCCGATACAGCGACCGCATCACTGCGCACGCTGCACCGATCCGCCTGTCAATCTCACGCTCCATCCTTCCCTCACTCGTGAACAAGACCCCGAGATACTTGAACTCCTCCACTTGAGGAAGGACCTCTCCACCCACCCGGAGAGGGCAAGGCACCTTTTTCCGGTCGAGCACCATGGCCTCAGATTTGGAGGTGCTGATTCTCATCCCAGCCGCTTCACACTCGGCTGCAAATGTCTTGTGCCATTGAACATTGTTAAACATTGATATCATATCGGCCCACAATTTCACAATCGGTGCAACCGTACTAGTTAGGCCAAGCTTTTGGTATATTTATTATTTGTATATCTATACTAATAATGTTCATAGTTTTCATTGGGTTTGAAAGGTACATAATATTATATGATATACTACATCCCACGGAGACAGTCGTACAGTGGCTCTGTCTTGGCTTATAATAGTTCACATCTCTTTAGTATTATTCATATTACATTGTCTCGAGCTGAATAGACTGTAATAAGTCTCCCACTGTTTGTTAATGAAAGAACTGTGGGTCATATCTTAAATCATGCTCAAGGCTTTTCTAATATTTCTTTATAATCTATATGTAAATATGTCAAATATGACTTATTTAAGATGGGCGACAGTAGCTCAGTTGGTAGAGCATTGGCCTGAAGGTCGTGGGTTCAATTCCCACCTCTACACCTTCTCCACCGACTCCCACTGATGACTGCTGTCGTTGTGTCCTTGGGCAAGACACTTAACCCTACTTTGCCCAAAAAGCCCCCACTGTAAGATCAAGGCCGCTCAGAGAGCAGCCGTCCTCCTGTGGACTCACCACCTGCAGAAGATCAGTGAGGGGCTGGTGCTATGAGACTTGGGTGGCATCTCTGATTGCCACCCCCCTGACCCAGAAATGGATTAAAGGGTAGAAAATGGATGGATGGATGGATGGATGACTTATTTAAGTCATACTTTATTAGAGAACCAAGGAAGTGCAGCCTTTAACAGGTTACAAACCAGGCTAATATAGCCTGGTTTGTAACATTGCCTTTGTGATATGTTTCCCCCTTCATTAATTTCTCCTATGGGGATCAATGAAGTATTTATTTATCTATCTATCTATCTATCTATCTATCTATCTATCTATCTATCTATCTATCTATCTATCTATCTATCTATCTATCTATCTATCTATCTATCTATCTATCTATCTATCTATCTATCTATCTATCTATCTATCTATCTATCTATCATCTATCTATCTATCTATCTATCTATTTATCTATCTATCATTATATATACTGCCATTTTGAATCTCATGTTGCCCTCTATTCAGTGCTCACTAGTTACATTTTAACTAATAATAATTGGCAAGGCAGGGTTATTTGTATAGCACAGTTCATTCCTACTGTTCTGTAACTTGTGATGCAACACTGAAATTTCCCCGCTGTGGGATGAATAAAGGATCTCTTAATCTTAATCACAGTACATTAAAAAGGAAAGATATAATCCCACAGTTTTATGCACAGCTATTTTAACCTCGATTTGTCATAGAAGAAGCCTGTTTCACATTTTCAGGAAGACTACAAGTTGGGGCAACATTATAGTATTATAGTTTAGTACTAATTAGATATATTATAGTGATTATTACCTTTGATTAGCCGAGTAATCTATTAAGTTTTTCACTTTCCAAAAAACAAGCTTAAACTATATTTGTAAATTTATGTTTTAGTATAAAAGCATTTGATAGTAAATTGATAGTTAAAACAAATAATAATTTAAATGTTACTTTTAATCTAAAATGTGAAGCGTTCCAGTACAATGCAGGCGCAGCTTCATAAATGCTCTGTGTGATGGTTTCACAAGGTATCTGTCATCAAAGACTGAAATTACCATAATTCTTTCAGCCTCGTTCTACAGTCTTGAGATTCCTTCATCGTGAAATACAAACAAAATTGTGCATAAATATCATCGACACAGCAGCCTGCAGCGGACTCACCCAGCCGAGCAGCGTGTTGTCGGACTCTGGGCCGTTGAACTGATGCGTCTCCTCCACAAACTCATACTTTTTACTTACTCCTGGTTTCTATGGCAACCGCTCCCATTCACGGATATTGTCTGTGTGTGTCATATCTGCTCAATGTTACACTTTATCTGAGAAGTACATTACATATCAGGTCAATGAAACTGAACGCACAGGGATGGAGTTAGACATGACCACTTTATAAAGATGTATTGTCCACACCTTTAGCAGTGAACAAAAACAAGACCGAGAAGTGTAAATGAGAAATCTTAATGGTTCAAACTGGCTGACCTGGGACCAAAACAACACACACATTTCTTAAGTTAGTAATGTCTTTTACTTTAAGAGTTTTGTTATGGTTTAAATCTGAATGAAACTTGTCAGGTCTGATGCAGGTTTAATGCCAGATTGGCTGAGCATTGTTGTTTACAATTTTACATTGTTGATTCGGGAATAAAACTTACCATACTTGCAATGTTTCTGACGTGTGAATATCTGTAAATATAGAACAATATAGGGGTGGGTGATATGGACAAAAGTAAATATCTCAATTTTTTTTCCCAACTCCTGATAACGATATTTACTTATATACTTATACTTTAAAATCAATCATTTTTACACAATATTATCTGTAATGTTTTGCTCCCAAGGATAGAGACAGTGTAGATCTAAATAGAAGCTTCACACTTCTTTGCAAAACATGCACAAACATGATAACATATATTAACATTAAAAATCAAATTCAAGTAACACAGAAAGAACACATCCAAAAAGGCTTGCTCAATATTTACTGAAATGTACAAATAAAGCCGTGATTGGCTTTTCAGGTACACATTAGAACAAATGGGCATCTGTGTTTCTCTAATTGTAATATGTATGTAAAAAGAAAAAGGACGATAATACAAAAAAGCATATCTTCAAATTGACTTTCATGATATTATTGTCTACGATATATTTTGCCCACCCCCAGAACAGTATGCAGTTTTTTTTCTTTTCAAAGTTGCCTGTGCTGTGTATAGGACTTGCCCTTACGCACCTGTCACAAAGTGAAATGCACAACGTTTACGCTTTTGGCATTTATTGTTTTGCAAAAATAAGCAAATGCTGTTAAAATATAATTATTAAAACATACTGAATGTCATAGATGTTAAAAAAATAGTAGCTTGATGTTATCTGACCCAAAAACAGGTCTGTTAACTTTGTTTTAGGAAATAATAGTTCTCTCATTTTTTGATGTACCTTGACAGATGGCAGTTGCAATCAAGGTTGGATAAAAGATCTGGATAAATATGTAATAACAGAAATAATCTGTGTATTGATTGCATTTACCACATATTTTTGCCAAAACTCGAGAAAGCCTTTTGTAAATTTGTATGGTCACCTTAGACGCTCTTTTGTATGCACACATGCCACCATATAAATCTGTCTCCAGTGTTTTTCCCAGCATCAATCCAAATGCCATTATGTGTCTCAACATATCAGCAGATCACATTACACAGTTAGATTTTGTCTCACTAACTTTATTTTATCTTCTGTCACTCAGGCTCTGTGAGAACATGCCCGACCTCCTCACTCCGGCTTTCTGAACCACTCGCATCCCTCTATGACGATCCCATCTTTGCAAACCAGGATGTCCAGCATGTTCAACCATCTCAATGCACTTCCAAAAGCCTCTTACTGGCCTCTCCACGTGATCCTTCTTGAGCTGCTCTTACCAGGCGTCTTGCCCAGCCTCTCCCGGTTCCCCGTCGCGGGCAAACGTGATATTGTCCTCGAAGGCGACCTGGTCATCGGTGGACTTTTCCCAGTGCACGAGAAAGGCAACGGCACACAAGATTGCGGGAAAATCAATGAGGAGAGAGGGATACAGAGACTTGAGGCCATGTTATTGGCGCTAGACGAAATCAACGCCAACGACCGTATCCTGCCTGGGGTCCGGCTGGGGGCTCACATCCTGGACACCTGCTCCAAGGACACGTACGCGCTGGAGCAGAGTCTGGATTTTGTGAGAGCGTCTCTGACCAAAGTGCACGATCCAGGATTCGTGTGTGCAGATGGGTCCAGGCCTCTGCAGAGTGAAGTGCCACTGGCCATCTCCGGAGTCATCGGGGGCTCCTACAGTGATGTGTCCATTCAGGTAATACAAATTAAGATTAAGATGAACAGATCCTTTGTACGTCCCACAGTGGAGAAATTTCAGTGTTGCATCACAAGTTATAGAACAGTAGGAATGAGGAGCACACAGCACAAGATAAGTGAACAATAGCTATACTAATTAAAATAAAACAAAATCTCTATAGCATCAAAGGACAAGAATAAAATCTCTATCTTGAACATAATAGTCATAAAGAGTTTAAAGTTTTACATTTATTAAAATAAGAGGCAAGTTTAAAGTACTGTGTATTCTAGTGCAAGCAATATGTAGTCATACAGTATGTTAGCATCTGTACAGTATGTTGCTAACATGCTTTATTCGTCCCTCAGTTTGAAAAATTCAGTAATGCATCACCATTTACAGAACAGTAGGAATGAGTACCAAATAAAAAAAAAAATCTCTAACTCTAGCATGAAGAAGAAACATAAAAATAAAAAAATATCTCTGTTTTTAGCAGAATTAGTACAAAAAACTCTACCATACTTTACCATAATAAAGAAGTCTTAAAATCTCTACCTTTGGCATAGTAAGAAGCAAGTATATTTGGTGAATCTGATGTATAATTGTCACTATGTCAGTAATATTGTGGTTTGTCATGAAAACACAGTTTGAGTATGTGTACAAAGTACGAGTCAAAACCAGATTTCTTGCTTAGTTCAACTTAACACTCGGACTCTGGGATGTGTTCTGAAACAATGAGAACTCCCAGAGCAGTCTTTAAGGCTGCTTCTTTTCAAAACAATAGAATTTTGAGAAAATCTCCTAAAGAATATTTTGTCCTTTCCCAGATTCATTAAAACAACATAATTTCCAAGGGGTTTACCTTCACAAAGCCTACTTACTCTAAAAGGGTAATGTTAACTTATTATTATTATTATTATTATTTTTTTTTTAATTTGTATCTTTTTTATTGCAGACAAACACATATACAGAAAAAAAAAATAGAAACAAAGAAAAGGACTAGTTCAGATACATTGTAGACAGAGATTACAAACAATATGTAGTTGGAGATACAGGGGGCCAAAGAAGAAACCCAGAAGGGCACATAGGAGGGGGGGGGGGGGGGGGGGACATGAAGTGGGAGATGGGGGGGAGGGGTTAATAAAAAAGGCAATACAAACAAACAGTATACAGTCATAGATATACCGAAAGTAAACACAGAAACAGCATAGAGTATTTACATGAACAAATTTACAAAATATTTACAGATTGTTTATCATCATCATAATGACACCATGATATTTCTATACTGTCTATGGTCTATACCCACACATACACACACACACCCATAAACACACACACCCCACACACACACACACACACACACACACACACATACACCCCACAGATAAGATAAGATATAAAGTCTGTCCACCTGAGTTTCACCAAGCTAAGCGGAACCCAGCCAACATCAATAATGTTGGCTGGTAATGTTAACTTCTGACAACGTGTTTCTATTAGGGTTTAATATTTTTCCCAAATCCCGGGCAAAGATGCATTTCCCGGGAATCCCGGAAATAGCTGTTTTTGTAGTTGTTGTTTTTAGCCCAAGTAATGTATGATCACTCAATATGTATAATATTAAACGTAAATCCATCAAAAGCTGCCGTTTTGTTGATGGGCTTTCTTCAGGAACTTTACTGTGCTGAGATTCTAAATGTCTGCGCAGTCCACTTGTCGACCCCCCAGAACACCTGGCAATCCGGTCACACAACATGCACTTTGCTTTTTCATTTTCAGGTCATTTAAAATGCTCCCATACAAAGTTGGCAGTAGATATCCTGCAGTAGATACTGCTGCGTAGGCTACTGAATGCAGCGTTACCGTAAGACAACAATAGACACGCACTCCAATAGGAGCGCGCTGGAATTTTTTTAAACTTTCATTTCCCGTTTCCCATCATAACATTTCCCGTGAATCGGGAAATAGTTTTGATCAGAACCCTAGTTGCCATGGTAACTAGCACTCACTCTTCTCTGGTGGAAACTTCTCTCATTTCAAAAGATAATTTCATAAATAACAATGAGATAGAGATAAAATACATGAGTAAACAGGACAAATCACAAAGTTATTAAGACCAAGAATGCACATGATTTAATATTAATAATTCATTGAATTTCATGGCACCTTTCAAGACACTAGACAATAGATTATAAACATCGCACACTATATAAAACATACAGAATAGAATACATTTAAAGAACTGCAAAGAAGAAGCCAATTTAAAAAGGGTAGGTTTTTAGATGTGATTGGAAAAGTGAGGTGAGTAATTACACTTCCAAAACGAAAAGCCCTGGGAGTTCTAGTGGTATTTTGATTTAAAGAGAAGCATGTACAAACCAGATCCTATCGAGCCACAACAAGCAGATGTGTTTAAGAGCACAGTGAAATGTATGTTTATGGACTCATAGACGACTCACTCATTCTGTTTTCAAAGAATATACAGTCCCTCTACATATGTTGAAAGCAGATAACATGACGCAAAGAGATGGGCTGCATAGATTAAATGACGTGGGTCCCCTTCACACCACACACGTCTTTTGTAGCAGAAAGGCTCACACTATAAATCATATATTCAGTAATTGTCTTACAATCATGGCAGACAGCAAATATATTCCATCCATCATATTTTGCTGTGCAGAAAATATAATCCATCCATCAATTGTTGAATGTTCAAGAATGATTACTGTATGATTAGGTTTACTGAGCGATTAACGATTAACTTTCCATCCAATAAGGCCAATCACAAAAACATTATCAGATTGTAAGGAAATAGATTACTTAAGTAAATACTGTAATCAAACTCCCGCTAAATTTGGATTCACATAATGGACCAACAACATAAATAGTGGGGACAAGGCTATGATCTGAACATGGACAACTTTTATATTTATGTAAGTTGTAGCTCATTATATCACAATAATAAAAAATATCACAAAAAATGAGCACATAATTAACACAGAGCTAAAACAAAATGTTGTTCCTGCTTCTCATTTTCAGTTTTAGTTGTCATAGTCATCTGTCTGCAGGTTCAAGTGCACTTTTCACTATGTTAGCCTAAACACCTCTCAGATTTAACCAAAGTTAATAAGATATCTGTATTACATCTTTACTGTAAGGAAAAGGCAAATTATAAAAACTTTGTGAAGCCAAGAATTTCCCCTGTTTCCAAGTAGCACAATCTTTTACCTTAAAAGCAGAAGTTTTTGACAATCTTGACAATCCATCCATAGTGGCAGGGCATAGGGACGTACTGTACTTTCTTATCAAAGAGTCAAGCCTTAAATAGAGGACAAAATGACATAAATTTGAGAAAAATATAGATCAACATCAACCATTTCCTCCGAGTACCTATAACCTTATCTTTCTTCCGTTACAAAAATAGTGACTGACATGTCTCCACTGCTTCACACCTGAAGTGAGATTCTGTCAGGAAGCCAACAGCGAGATATTTGTGAAGTGTTTGAATGTGTTTTCTGACTTAAGTACAAATGTGCTGGAAATCCACACACACACACACACACACACTGATAGGAGGTATGTCTGTGTAAGACTTCGCATCTGCACAAACAGTTCTGACCTTTTGCACCTTCAAGAGGCAGAGAATTATGTGAGCTTTGTTAATTAATTCCCAATGCCCTTGCACTATATAATTATCCGCAATGCACTGTGGGAATCATTAAGTTATTAGCGTTGAGATTGACTATGGAAAATTGATGTTGTTGGAGAGAATGTGAGCAGAATGTATTCCATCAATATTTTTGTTTTTTACACGGACGGTGGAGAATGCAGCTTAATGTGTTCCTATGTTACCACTGAACATTCAATTCTATTCAATGTATAACCCAAAATCACAACAGTAGTAGTATCTCAGAGGACTTTACACAACTCTTGAAATCACAGATCAGAGAATCTTGGTTCGAGCCCACCATGAGACCTACTTTACAACTCCCACTGATGTCTACTGTCGTTGTGTCCTTGGGCAAGTTACAACACTTAACCCAACTTTGGCTGAAGGCCCCACTGAAAGATCAAGGCTCCTGTGGTCTCACCACCTGCAGGAGGATCAGTGAGGGGCTGGTGCTCTGTGTACAGCGCCTCACTCCCCCCCGACCCAGAAATGGATTAAGGGGAAGAAAATGGACGGATGGATAGACCAGAGAATCAAACAGGAAGAGAAAAGAAAACACATTGGCCATTTATCCAAAAGGGGAAGATAACCAATGTTCATAAGTGTTGATAAATGTTGTTGAATGTTGGGTATCCTAGATTGATTGATTAAGACTGTTGCATAATTTTACATCAGGTAAACACTAAAGTCAAGGGTGCAGTGTGGAATAGTACCGGTAGCTTGCAAAGATTTCTGTTAAATCTCAGCTTCTCTCAGCCCCCAAAAAATGGGAAGAACCCCTGATATTTTTTCCCACAGATAACTACAAGGCTTTGGAAGGATCCTCTCTCGGATGCTAATAAGCGCTGGAGTTTCTGAACTTGTCGAAGCAAGTAGTCGAAGCGCATGTGAGAATTTGGTATAGCCTTACACAGTGGAGCCATGTTGTGTTCTCATCCGTCCAGATTGGCTAAAGAGCAACAGCTCTCAGAACAAGTGCGAACATCTCTGCTTTTGAATGAACCACACAGCCTATTTTCTTTCCGGCCTTTGAGTGGTTTGGATGAATGCATGCTTCAAGTGCCACTCTCCTCCACTGTCTTTGTGCTATAATGAAGCTGCCGTGAGAGCTACAGAATCCTATGGTCAGTGATTTACACAGACCCCCATTTAAAAAAGAGAGGAGAGACTTTGTGCAGAGCCTAATGAGAGGATGTGCCCGTTCCCATTTCCACTCAGAGGTATTCAGATGAGTCAAGAGAGATGAAGGGAGTAAGGGGTGTTGGAGGGAGATATTGAATGACATGATTATGTATTATTACATGTTACAAGACCTGAATGATTTTGGCAAACTTCTGGATTGCAATTTTTC